TTACTCGAATTTGATTCACAGTTCCTGATTCAAATTATGAAATGCACCAAAAAGGATCCATATAAATTTATAAAATCATAAATTTATTACAAAGCCACATCTCAATCTCAAGAAATCCGCATAAAAATGCTTGATCCCTAGACACTTTTGATGTGTGTATATAAACATTTAATTCTTTAATTTGATATATTTTGACGATGATTAAATTCACGAAAATATTAATTTACTTTATTAGTAACACTGGCTGTTTTTTGTTCCTTTGAATAAAAAAAGCGTTGATGAGCGCGCATCGCTAATCTGTGAAAAAGTTATTTCTTCTTCTTTTCGCTGTATTGTTTTTATTTGAAAATATTGTCAAGTAGTAACAAATTTATTAATTTGTCACCGCCAGAAGTCGAAAAAGGCTACGCTAAGCCTCTTTCCCGAAAAATCCTTACAGTCAAGCTTATCAAAATTTCATCTTATGGAAAACAAACAAAGGTGCAAATTCATTTTCAGAAAGTACGTACGTGGGTAGTATTATTTCCTCGCAAATGTATTATAAAACGTCGTCCGACATACGTGCGGTTTGATAATTACAGCCTCTGCCTTCTTATAGCCCTCACCTACGGCTCGCGCTAACAATATCGCCTCGGCTGTAATTCTCAACTTACGTTAACGTTTTTCTACACATTTGCGAGAAAACAGTATCTCTACCTCATTTATGTAATGGAGCAAAAGTATTTTCTAATAAGAAAATGGCGAGCATTTCCTAATGGGTGAAAATGATGGGTGGTGTAAATGATGGGTTGAGAAAATGATGGGTGGTGAAAATGATAGGTGGTGAAAATGATAGGTGGTGAAAATGATGGGTGGTGAAAATTACAACTACATCACGTATTAAAGTGAGACAAAGGTATAGATTAAAAGCGCTTCCAAGGAGGTTCAACCGACATTTAAAGAAAAACCGTAAAAGATACGCAAGGCGCCATGTTTGGGAGCGTGCGGTAAAACGCTTTATCGGACGCTCCGTTGTATGGGCCGCAATTTTGAACTTTGGAACAATGTAAGTATACAACCTTCTTGCGTCAAAATGCGCTTAATTTTATGAGCAAATGCGTTAAAAATAATTTACTTTTGCCTGCAAAAATGTTACGCTAGTTTTGGTCTGATCTTTCGTCTAAACGGATACTTAACCGGCGAAAGTTTTTACTGACAAAAAAAAGTTAACAGTGAACTTGGTCGTATCGTTTTCTACTCGACGTATAAAAACTAGGTAAATTAGATTAAGATAGATGACAATTAGGATAATAAGAACAGGAGCTCGATGGCGCAAGTGGTTAGCGCGTTCGGCTGCGATCGTTGAAATTTAGCAATTTTCGCAGTGGTCAGTCATTGGATGGGTGACCAAAACTTACTATCTCGAGCTCCTCCGTGCTTCGAAAGCACGTTCAGCCGTTGGTCCCGGCTGCATCTGTAGTCGTTAGCACCCACCAATCCGCACTGGGCCCGCGTGGTGGGTCATGGCCCAATCTCCCTATTCCATCCACAGGGAAGGCCTGTGCCCCAGCAGTGGGGACCTTAATTGGCTGATTAGGGAGATGAAAATTAGGAGTTCGCTGGCGCAGATGGTTAGCGCGTTTGGCTTGATATCGTGAAAGTTAAGTATCTTTCCCGCCGGTCGGTCATTGTGTAGTCATCAGTAAAACGTAGACTATGTGTTAATCCAGAGTGTCAGCTCACTCCATACCAAATTTCATTAAAATCGCTCCAGCCGTTTAGACGTGAAGAAGTAACAAATTAGTCGGGAAGAATTAGTGTGATGTGACTAGTAACTTGTCCCAGCTTTGCACAATAGAATTTAAATGAAAAACACAGAAAACATAGCTTTCTAGTAACGGAGAAATTGTCAAAATCGGTTCATAAGTTGCAGAGAAAAACACCCCACAATCTTACAATCCTCTCGGTGTTTGTTTATAACCGTCCATAAAGTGTAGTAACTTCAAGCAGAAGAATCCCACTTCATGATGGATAACGGTACTTAACCACCAATCAAACTCCACTCCTGCCGATCGCTGCCCAAATTTAAGATGTCCGTCTGCCTAAACGACCGGCCATTCCTCCGAATTCATTGACCTACTTATTTCTGGACTGGGATATAGTAAGCGCTTGTACAGAGTATATATATATGATATAAATGTTTCTGATATAAAATAATTTATATCGATAATCGATAACTTCATTTCAAGAACAAGAGCATTGTTGTTTAGAGTCTGTTGCGATCATCCAATCCCTGTAGTATGCATCCACAATTTACAATAAAGGGGAAACTACCCAATCATTGGCACTCTTCCTATTATTGGCACTTTTGAGTTTAGTTCGAAAAACCGGGAAACAATAGATTATAGGAATGCCTGCCAATTTTCAAATTTCGTAACCACACTAGGTTTTTCTTTTTAATATGTAACGACCTTGAATTGTCTCCTTGTTTTTTTCAAATTAAACTCAAAAGTGCCAATAATAGGACGAGTGCCAATAATTGAGTGGTTTCCCCTATCACGTTTTTTATCGCGTTGAACTGTCAAACTCCATAGTAATTTGACAATTGAGCGTGGTAAAAACGCGTTACATACATATAGCGGTACTCAGGTTAGGCGGGGTGGTTAGATAGCCTAATTGATACACAACGTAGTGACACAGTTTATTGCACCAGCAAAAATATTCACAGCCGTTAATTCGTAGTCATAGTATCATAGCCACATAGTCAAACGTATCCCAACGCGCGTGCCTTGCCTTGCTAATATATTTACATTATTTTGTGTAACCCTGTGTGACGTGAATTAATAGACTTTTACTAACTCTTATCCTGTTTCATTTCGGCACAATAAACCCTTCTGATTATAAACAGTGCAGTATCCCTGTCATTGTCAAATGTGTACTGATTTTTAGTGTCCGTTACGTCCGATATGACGCTGCTGTTCAAGTTTCCATACAAAATATGACAATGACATTTTTTAATCGCAAAGGTGCTTGGGGTATTGTTCGCAATGACCTACAAACCACCTACAGTGGTGACCGCAATGTGATGATCTTAAGGATATTAAATCACGTTACACAAAAAATGTCAATTCTGATCTAGGTATCTGATAATTCGCAAAGCAAGACTAGTAGGCACGCGTGTAGGGATACGATTGACTGATGCGGCTACGGTATTCGGCTATGATGCAACGGCCACGAATATTTTTATTGATGCTACGGTATTCGGCTACGATGCAACGGCCACGAATATTTTTACTGATGCTACGGTATTCGGCTACGATGCAACGGCCACGAATATTTTTACTGATGCTACGGTATTCGGCTACGATGCAACGGCCACGAATATTTTTACTGATGCTACGGTATTCGGCTACGATGCTACGGCCACGAATATTTTTACTGATGCTATGGTATTCGGCTACGAGGCTACGGCCACGAATATTTTTACTGATGGAACAAACCATGTCGTTACACGCAACTACAAAATTGAATTACGTAACAAACAGGCTTACATAGATTAAAAATCAAGAGTATGACGCCTCATGGAAATATCAACTATGAAGTAAGTGGATTGCATATATCTTTTACGAGGAAAAACAAGTATTTTTTCTATATGGAACGCCCGCTTGGTTATGCATCTATTACTTATAAACTTTACTGACTCTATACAAATAACATTATTCTGTAGTTTAGCGTGTCAGTGACTAAGCTTGTCACAGCTATACTGTATATGAAAACAGAGCTAAAGCAAGATGAATATAACATCCCGAAACCCGGGCTTACTGATGGTTTTGTAGCAAAATTATCTTTAAAATATCTTTATATGTGAAAATGTTACAGTTAAATACTGAATATTAATGGTGATAGTAATAGAAAGCTTTATTTTCTTATAATTGATGACCTTCGTGGCCGTGTGGGTTGTACGCCGGGATTATTGGTGTCGCCGACTCGAGAGGTCCCGGGTTCGAATCCCGAGCATTTACTCCATTCTGTGGATCTTTAATATGTATTTCTATATAAATATACTTATTTAAGTACAGTTCATGTATTCTATCCATTACCCTAGTATTCCATAACACAAACCTTACAATACTTACTTTGGAGCTAGGCTAATTGGTGTGAGTCTTGGAAATATTTATTTATTTTTATTTATAATTCTCATAATTTTTAATACGCTCACATTTTGTAGGGAACTGGAAGCTAAGAACTCACTGCGCGATTTTCTCTGCGCGCGGGACCGCAAAATGCGAAATTGAAAAGCAAATTTCACGGCGCGATTTTCCACAGACGTGGCGGGTTTTGCCCGATCTCGCAGTTGCGACAACGGCGGGCCCGTAGTACACTGCCGTTTCGTGAGTTTTAAAATAAAACAGTTCTGTAGCCGCTCGCGGTGGGTGCCGTAAAAACCGTTACCGGAGTTCTTAGTCGAAGTTGGACCGCCTGCGCAGTACCTACCAAGTGACGCGAGAGGATATGGAACAGTTACAGATTCTATGGGAAAGAAATCGCAAAGTAGCCTTATAACATTCGATCTGTAACACTCGGGTCTGCCAATTTGGTTCGGTGTTCTTGCAAAATTCTGTAAAATTGTTTTTTCGCTAACAATAAAAGTATAGGTAGTGATTGGTCTGTGACACAACTTAAAATACGGGTTGATTTCCCGAGGACGCTAAAGGACAGTAAAACGGCCATAGTAAGTGAGTAAACAATGGGCAAATTAGACTAAAAAACTAGTTTATCAAAAAAAACAGGTTATAATGTAAGCGAAACCCATAAAAATGTATTTTTGCTATGCACTGGAGTCAATTAAGTACAAGTTAATTAGGTACCTTGAGATTTGTCAGGAACATACTGTGGAACTATACAGGAAATTTTAATGTTGTAATTTACAGTTTTGCCCGATCTCGCAGTTGCGACAACGGCGGGCCCGTAGTACACTACCGTTTCGTGAGTTTTAAAATAAATCAGTTCTGTGGCCGCTCGCGGTGGGTGCCGTAAAAACCGTTCCCTGAGTTCTTAGTCGAAGTTGGGCGCATTACCTACCAAGTGCAGCGAGAGGATATGGAAGAGTTACCATCATTTTAATATGCTGGTAAGTATAGTAATTTTCAGTAGGGATTTTTTTTATCAATAGGTCCGACAAATGACTCCACCCCACCTGATGTTAAATGACGTTGAAGTCCAGACGCGAAGATAGCGGATACAGCAGTTCTACCTGCCACGTCAGCCATCCTCATCTTACCGGCCTGCATGTTGCTTCTTCACGCCTCTTTTAAAGGTAACCAGGTTGTAAGAGGGAGGGAACGCGTGAGCGGGCAGAGCATTCCATTTACGGATAGTGCAACAGAGAAATGGGTCACCAAACTTCTTTGTACGCGTTGGAATAGTGGCCACAGTCGGTGGCAACGTAGGCCATCGCGCGTGGTGCACTGAAGGAAAGGGGAAGGTGGAATAAGAGAGAATAACTGCTCAGAACACTCGCCGTGGTACAGACGATAGAACGCGCTTAATGACGCCACGTCATGGCGTAATTGAAAAGGCTCAATGTGTTTAGTCACCTCCTTATCGCCTATGATGTGGATCGCGCGATCGATCGAATTGAAGTTTGTCTATCATAATCCCCTAAGTGTGTATCAAACTTAATCGTTTCCGTTTCCCTTGAGTCGATAACTGAGCCCTTCCCGATACCAATCGCCGCCCGCATCTCGCAAACGATCATGACTGTATCGGCCACGATAATCACGGAAAGGAAACATTATTGGAGCTGTTTCCCATTGATGTTGGTACTTCAAAGTTACGTGGCGAGCTTCGTGAGAAACGCAAATGTGTAAAAATGTGAAAATAAATTTAATAAAACAAGTTGGAACCGGTTAGATGCACTGATTTTATTTTATTTTTTATTGACGTTTCGCATCCTTTGCAGGAATGCATATTCGGAATAATGATTTTTTATTTACTTTGTCGAGCTACCTCCGAAAGATTTTTATTGAGCGTTCGGATATTTCTTCGGAATATTTTTAAAATGCTTTTTGTCTATGTCTGAATTTATTAGATCATAGACAATAAAGTTTTAAAAATATTCCAATGAAACAAATACGTAAATATGTGAATTGCCAATATTAGCCTTTTAATTTTCGGACCGGTTGAAGCACAGTCACTCATTATTTTAATTCAGCGTCGCGACAAACTGTATTTTTGTACATAATTTGCAAGTAAACTTTTAATAACTAACATAATGACAAAAAGTATTCGGCAATGCCATTGAAATTGCAGTTTGATGATAGAAAAAAAGTAGTTTACCCATCTGAAAGAGTTTACTTAAAATGATAATGAAAATATTGTTTTAAGCATCGTCATAGAAATGTTACGAAAATCTGTCAAATTCGCATGTTTTAATTCGTACAATGAGTACATTTGAAAATATTTTTAATTTTATATACTCGTATATATGAATCAAAATTTAAGATTATACTCGTACTATTGATACTGAAAAGATATCTGCTATTAGAAAGGATTGATGTGGCCAAGACCAATGGAATACCAAACTCTTCTTATGTAATTCTAAGAACTCGCTATAATTTCCCTAACAAGCTTACTACGGTGCTATTAGGCTCCAAAAATACCACAATCGAGTGTTACAAATGAATTCTTGAGAATATGACTCGTTGTTTTCATTAATTCAAACGAAGCCAGAGCTAACGACGTAGCTAATCATAGAAGCAAAAAGATTGTAGGTTGTTACCACACAAGTAAAAAAGGCGCAGAGGCAAAGTTTCATGCAGTGCGCGCGTGTGAGTGTGTGTGAGCACTGGCAGGCTGTACGCGTACGCATAGAAACGATTCTATGGGAAAGAAAACGCAAAGTAGCCTTATACCTTGTAACATTCGATCTGTAAGTTTCGGGTCTGCCAATTTGGTTCGGTGTTCTTGCAAAATTCTGTAAAATTGTTTTTTCGCTAACAATAAAAGTATAGGTAGTGATTGGTCTGTGACACAACTTAAAATACGGGTTGATTTCCCGAGGACGCTAAAGGACAGTAAAACGGCCATAGTAAGTCAGAAAACAATGGGCAAATTAGACTAAAAAACTAGTTTATCAAAAAAAAACAGATTATAATGTAAGCGAAACCCATAAAAATGTATTTTTGCTATGAACTGGAGTCAATTAAGTACAAATTAGACCTTGGGATTTGTCAGGAACATACAGTGGAACTATACAGAAAATTATAATGTTGTAATTTACAGCCTATTGTAATTTTTGTGTCATTTCTTCTTTCTTGGAAAAGTGGTTAAAACTTTTTATATTGTTAATAAACCCCAAAACTTTCAAAGAAATATGTATTTTGACAGATAGGTGGGCCAGCGGTGTGTGGTGCAAAGTTTAGCGGTGAGAATTGTTAGTTTTTTTGCACATTGGCAGAACCGGCGTCCTGTACTGTACTGTGCCGAGTACCGGGAAACGCTTCTATTGGCGACGAGAGGCCACCAGTGCTCACACACACGCGCATGCACGAAGCTCTGCCTCTGCGCTTTCTTTTCCCATGTCTTGTTACACTGATGAATAAGTACATAAATTACTGTCTGGATCGTACGTAGTTCTGAGTATGGTACGTGATGAATCGTCTCCTTAATGTGGAAAAACTACGAAAGCGGCCATGATGGCTTACATTTCGCATACATTACTGTCAAATTTCAGACTGAGATTCAGATTTTATTTATTGGTTCGAATTTGCATTGCCGTTGTCTTTATTAAATATTCATAAGAAACGATATTTTCGATCTGAAAATATCAGTTACATTACTTTGATCATTTTTTTTTGTTACCATGATAATAAGTGATTTAGATATTACATAGATTGGCTTTTACATTGAACCTTCTATATTTACGGTTTAGTGCAAATATCTAGTTGTTTAAACTCAGTTTGAGAGAAATATCTCATTTTATTTGCTTTAATTATAACTCAAAGAGTATGTTTCCGAATAAATATTATTTCATTACATTCTAATGCATGCAAATGCAGCTTTGATGATAAGAAAATCGTAATATTAGATATTTCCACACAAATACAAAAATATCTGCAAACTTTTCTCCATTTTAAAATGCTATGAAATATTGCTGTTTTCGTTATCTTAAACAACGATTTTGTATGAAAAAGTGGACTCATCTCAGTTACTTCGGGAAATCTAACAAAGTCTTCTTTAAATTAAAAGTAGCAGCAACAGTAACAAGCGTTTCTTCACGTTTGTAATGATGAGTGGAAACTTGGAAATGGTTCCCAATTATACACATTTTGTACTAAATAGGGTATTAAAATCTGTAAGTGATAAATAAACAAATATTGGAACCAAGTTTATTTTCGGACATCACAGACTTGGTGGATGAGGGCTAGGCGAAAAAAGTGTAAGATTTAATGTTTCATAGGGTATTGTGTATAGTTGTGTACTTATGTTTATTTTTAACTTCGTCCCAACCGTGTGTTTCACGCCACCCACGTTTGCTTTTTAATTCAATTTGTAGAACTTGCAGACATTTTTACACTATTTGGTAAGTATGTTCAGTGAGGCACATTCCATTTCCATTTGTAATGTAGGCATTAGAAACTATCGTTCCATAGTATAGATGTATTCATAGCTACTGGGATGACAGCATATCACTAAGATCTTCACAGATTGATTACTTAGTAGTTACTCCGTATTTGCCACAGATTACGTCACAGTAACTTTGTAACGTATTACAGCAACTAATCTTAGCAAATCCGAGCCTCTCTCTATACTCTAGAGTGAATGTCTAAAGTTTATTTATAGTCTCGGAACGAGATCACTTTTATCTTACTGATATAATAGTTAAACAAATGAAGATTGAATTCTGTATACGTTGTGCTAAATTTTATACTAGTAAGCAGGTTTTTCGCAGGACTACTTTTGGGATCAAAGCTTTTGATTCATATTGGGTGGCGCCCGTTCTGTGCTCCCAACGACCTTGCGGACATCACGTAGTATTCAATTTTTTAGAAAATTTTAAATATTGTAACTTTTGTTAAATTATTAAACTCAGCGCATTAACCTACGTATTGGTAAGTGTTGAACAAGTATTCCTTAAATTAGCAACTGATTAGAGAGTAGAAAATTTTAAATTTTGAAAATAGTAACCGTCAATTTGAATTTTGATCCATGTTATAATGCTTATGCACTTTGCATTAGTTATTTTTTTTATTGTTGTTTAAGCTGTGTTTTAGTTTTATTGCTTTTTTCTCCGATTGTAACTCCGATCTGATTGTGGCAATTATAACACAATACACGTACATCCCGGGTACTTTTCTATTCCAGTTCTTGCCATGGTCTGACAAAGTGCTAAATAAGTAAGTCTTATTATTTTTTCACCAGCACCATGACGCAAGTTCCTAAAAATGAAAATCATTTTTTTGACTTAATATATCAATAAATCAATATGAGCATGAAAACCAAAACAATACCCAGATACTATATATCTATGACAATACGCAGATACCTTACTTGGTCCGCATGCTGTAGTCGAGTACAATCACAATCATTAGTGAAGTTCGCACAAGAGTGTGCTATGATATCGTGGTTGGCGTTAGCTAGATGTTTAGTGCTTCTGATAGAGAACGAAATGTATGAGCGTCTTCATTCAACGTCAGCAGATTCCTAGCTAGCCATTTAATAACCAAATTGAAACCTTTCTGTGTATGACGACAGACCTCATCCCATGTATCACCCTCGAAAAAACTCACTGTGTCGTCAGCGAAAGTAATGATATTCACTGTTTTCATTCAGTGAGATAACTCTCAAAAAAAATCAAGCTGTTTACCACGAATCCCAAGTCGCTGCAGCCTGTTTATTAGAAGTGGGATAGAAGAAACCGTGTCAAATGCCTTCGCGGTTTATAATTTATTATGCATTATGTATGATGCATTCACGGTTTGTAAAATTAAACAATGTTATACGTATAAACCTTGTAACTATCTCTAACACACTACTTAAATTTTGCTCATAAGTCAACTACGCGGTGGAGCGCAGCCTTCACCCGTCGACAACCTGATGTTCACTGGTTGACGATAAGGCATCCACCTG